CAAACTCAACTTCAGAGAAAGTTTCGGATGTGTAATGACTTCACATCAACCATCTCATCATCCTTAAATTCCTCCCTGAAATATATTGAAAGCATTCCATCAATTAACCATAAAAAAAAATAATAATAATAAATAAATAAAAACTGTATACAATAAATGTTAATGGTGTAGACAAATGCATAGTAATTGAAGGGGAACACGAACACACTGGGTATAATAACAGTTGGCAGAGACCCAGAGCAAGGGTCATGGGCTTGAAGCTCTATTCATGGGGCTATGGCAGTGTAAAAATGAACTGGTACATGGAGCAATATGCTATACTATTCAATTCACTTAATTGATATTGCAACCAAACTTCAGTGTGTCCCAAGTTTATGATAGCATATTAACATATACTTCTGTGATTTCTGTGAAAATGGGATTGGTGGATATTTTTGTGATTTGGGGTGGCTCAAGTGTATGATAGCATATTAAATAATGGGATTACTATCCCAATTGTGGATAGTGATTCCCTAGATTTAGACATTCAATTTAAAAATAATAAATAAACAAATAAAGAATGTTGATCCGGATCCAAACCCACCAATTTTTTTTTAAAAAAAATGGAACCCAGTTTAGTGGCATATAAACCTACCAAACTTTAACATATACTTATAATTAATATAAAAAATAAAAAATAAAAATAGAAATAAAAGAAGAAGAAGAAGAAGAAGAAAAATAAAAATAAAAGCCTATAAGTAAAGAGACGATTACCTGGATGCGAAGCTAAATCAGCGTGTCTGGGATGCGCTCTGCTAGAGAGTGGTTGAGCAGCAAAAAAATAATTAATCCATTCAAAAATCCAAAATCAAACACTGGTGCTAACTTTGCACCCGAAAATACGTTAATCTTAATGTACACTTATTCTAACCAATCCTAATAATTATGGGTTGTTTTGAAAAGTTGGTTCAAAGCTGATTTTTTAGTATTTTTAGCGAATAATGTTCATCTAGAAAATAATTAATCTACGTGTTCCTGAAGACTTGTTTATAACATAGGTCAGTTGTAAAAAGATTGGTTCGAATTGCAATGTCATTTACATATATGACCTAATACCTTCTTGTGGTTCCATTCCATTTAAAACCCCACTACACACTTGCCTTGATTCTCCTAAAACATAGAAGTCAAGTATGTGTTCCATCTAAGCTTTAGGCAATCGTAATGGCAGTGATGACGGGTAGTAATATCACATGGTAACAAATACTAGGTCCAAGGAAATGCGTAAGGAGGTAATCAATCTCTCAACCAACGTGTTATCTATATTCTCACACTTATATTCCAACACTTTCACAAAACAGTAAGACGTAATTTTTTCACGCGTTTTTCATCAACTCACAAAATATTAGCAAATATCATAAAAAATTCCCCTTTATGTCTAGAATTGCCAAATCATTTCAACATGTACAAATTGCAAGTACCTACTTTCCTGTTCTCCCAAGTGATATAAATAAGAATTTTTGCCAATCCATCAGTTTCTTTATGGAATTCTAACTCCTCTCAATAATTTTTCAGATATCTTGCAGATTATAAATTACCATATACTCCCTAGATTTCCCAATTTTAATATAATTCTTCTTGTTTTCCAAATCAAAGAAACACATAAATATCCCATAAACACATAAGTAACTTGACTTTATTAAGAAGTTTTAGCGTTGTCCCTCTGTTAAATGCATTCACACAAACCTAACTATACTGTCTTTGTTAAGCATTTTAGGACATCAAAATAACAATGGGAAGAGTCTAAATAACATCAATATCAATACAATCAATAATTCCCCAATTTTAA